GGGAAAGAGGTTAACGGTGTCAAATGCTAATGAAAAATAGCTAGGGAATTTAGCAACATGGAGGTCGATGGTAATCTTTAATAGAGCGCTAAGGGCTGCAGACAGTGAAGATTAGCAGCTCTCAGGAAAACTGGCTGGAAAAGGCAGTCGAGAGAGTTCTTGGCATTGAGGGGTGAGTTTGAATAGAGTAATGGGGGAGTTTCTTAGAAATGGAGAAATATGTTTCCATGGTAATGAGGAGGGTCCAGGAAAGAGAATCAAGTGTACAAAGTTCTCAAGAGGGCAGGAGGGCTGCAATCTGGAGCATAGATGAGGGGAGGAAAGGTTTGGGCATTAGATAAAGGAAGGGCAGTTTCATATAATGCAGCTTTAAAAACTTAAAAAAAAAATGTTTGTCTTTATTCAAATGGTCACATTGACATTAACCATTTGTCCCCTGAGAAGTAACCTGTAGGTACTTGGTTTTGCAAAACATGTTTTAAGCGGTTCACCTGTCTGTATTCCATCTTTGCACACTCATTTTCCTTTTGTGATTATTAGAATTAAGGTCAGTGGTTTATTCAGTCAAATAACATTCTAGATTCAGTTGAACAACTAAAGTTGTGTTTACTCTCATTCTTTTTTCAGGCCGCTCAACTGTAAATTTGTATTAGCTCTCTTAACACATATACTTTGCCCTGTGTAAAATGTCAGAAATGTTCATATTTGGAGAAAGCCTTCTGACATTATCAGACATTTGACTTCAAGGGGCTACCACTTCTTTCTATGTATAGTAGGTTTTAAAAATCAGAAATATTTTTACATACCCTTGGAAATCTTAGTCATTCTGAATCACCACTTTTAACTTTGTACTTTTCCAACTGAAAACTGTAAGAGGAGAGATACATTCTGTCTGGTTTAAAATGTGTCATTAAAACCAATTTGTCTTCAAAATACATTGCTGGAACAGATTTGAAGTGTAAATAATAGCCCTGTTTATAGAATAGGGCCCTCAGTGCACACAGAGGTTAAATGATTTCTTCTGGGGTGGCGATGGGGCGTCAGCTAAGAATTATAGTAACAGTGCCAGAAAGAAATCTTTTTTTTTTTTTTAATTTATTTATTTTTATTATTTTTGGCTGTGTTGGGTCTTTGTTGCTGCACATGGGCTTTCTCTAGTTGCGACGAGTGGGGGCTAATCTTCGTTGTGGTGCGCGGGCTTCTCATTGCAGTGGCTTCTCTTGTTGCGAAGCACGGGCTCTAGGCGTGTGGGCTTCAGTAGTTGTGGCATGCGGGCTCAGTAGTTGTGGCTCACAAGCTCTAGAGCGCAGGCTCAGTAGTTGTGGCTCACGGGCTTAGCTGCTCCGTGGCATGTGGAATCTTCCCGGACCAGGGATCAAACCGGTGTCCCCTGCATTGGCAGGTGGATTCTTAACCACTGCACCACCAGGGAAGCCCAGAAAGAAATCTTAATTTGTCGTCAGGTCAAGTTTACATATTAGGCTTTCACTGGTAGATGTAAGTGTGGGAATGAGAAACAGCAAAAAGGAAACTCACAAGCCTACTCTTTGCTGAAACCCCAGGTGTCTTAATAGTTGTGAACTCTCATTACTTCACAAACCACAGGAAGATAGAGTATGGTCTGCATTTAGTCATTCAGCATTCGTTACTAACAAATAAGTTGCTAATTTACTTCGCTTATTATTATTATTTTTTTTAATTAGAGGGTTTTGGTTTTTTTTAAAAGAAGATGTTGGGGGTAGGAGCTTATTAATTAATTAATTTATTTTTGCTGTATTGGGTCTTCGTTTCTGTGCGAGGGCTTTCTCTGTTTGTGGCAAGTGGGGGCCACTCTTCATCGCGGTGCGCGGGCCTCTCACTGTCGCGGCCTCTCGTTGCGGAGCATAGGCTCCAGACGCGCAGGCTCAGTAGTTGTGGCTCACGGGCCTAGTTGCTCCGCAGCGTGTGGGATCCTCCCAGACCAGGGCTCGAACCCGTGTCCCCTGCATTAGCAGGCAGATTCTCAACCACTGCGCCACCAGGGAAGCCCCTACTTTGCTTATTTTTTGCCCAGCAAATAGACATGAAAGCTCCTCTAGAATGCAAGCTCCTTGATATCGGCACTTTTGTTTACTGGGCACTGAATAAATATATGTTAAATGAATTATGAGTGTATTGAGGACATACTATGTACACCTGTACAGTATTCTTAGGCATGGCTGATAAGCAGGGGAGTTAGGCTACCCCAGATGGGAAAAAGTGAGCCATGTTTGCTCAGTAAATACCAAGACAATCTGGGTTACATGTTTGTGAGGAATTATGGCCTGAAAATCTGATAGATATAACTTTTTCCTCTAAAAAAGAAATGCCTCAAATACATTTATTGGTTTTTCTAATTTCAAGTGCTACTTAATCTTCGTCATAAATATTCAGACATGATAGAAATCACGAGTGGTCACAATCTCCTGAAATGCTAACTTTTACCTCTTGAGATATGCCTTGCTGATATCCACAGTGTCTCTGTTGGGCATGTGGCTTTCATGTAGTTCCCTTGAGAGCCAATGCGTGGAGTCAGCAGCTGTCACACCAGCAGCAGGAGTGGGACAGTGGTTTTCTCTAAACACAACACACTACCCTTGGCTCAATTATTTAATCCAAAAATTATATTCTCAGGAGAATTTATGATAGGTGATAAAGTTTAATAAGTTGTATCTTTCAAATTTATCAGAGCGTGTCCTAAGGAAATTGTGTTTGGGTGGAGAAGAGATACGGTGTATTTATTTTGTGAGTGTCAGGCTTAAGAGATGGGTTTTTACATAACGTTAGTTTGTAAAGATGAATGGTTTGGGTTCATTTTAACACCTTACTTTTACCAGTTTATTTCTTCTTCACCAAACATTCAAATGTTTATTTATGTGTAGTTAAGGTAAATCAATAATGAAATGTAGAGCCTTTCACCTTGTTATGCAAGTCATTTTTATCACTTCACTTTATATTTCATTGAAAGCAGCAAACCAAATCCCAACCAAATATCTACCAGCAATGGCAAACCTGGTGCTGTGAATGGAGCCGTGGGATCCGCATTCCAGCCGCAGAACCCTCTCCTAGGGCGAGCCTGTGAGAGCTGCTATGGTAAGTTTTCTCCAGTAGGGCTTCCCCAGCTCCTTTGATGCCTGTTGTGGGTGAAGGGCAGGGAATTGTGCTGGCACTGCTGGGCAGCAGGTGCGAGAGGTCAGCACTGCGCAGAGGGCAGAATAGTGTAGCCTCAGAGTGAACAGGTGCCCATCCTTACCTTCCACCTGGACACTGAGTTTAGGTATTGGGTTTCCTTTGATTTGCTTCTGTGGTGTCCTGGGTTTGTTGAGCAGTGTGTGCTAAGCTGTATTCAGAACTGTTAATTAGCTTTGTGCAAACCATGGTCCCACGAAATATACCAACCCCCCTTTTGGTGTTTCTCAGTATGTTTTGACAAATTAAAGGCTCCAAATAATTCTGTAGGAAAGACCTGCGCGTGGATAAACTGCTCTTTAAAATCCTCAGATGAGGTTCCCTTAGAGCACTGGCTTGGGAGATGCTGTTTTATGATACTTTTGGCCTCAGGGCCCCAGTCTGTTTATCAGTATTTATCCATGTAAGAAAACTACCCAGTGCCAGCAGTATTATATTTGCCCTGGATGTTAAATTGGGTTGGTGAGATGAACTGCTAGGTAGTCGACACTTTTTTTTTTTGGCTGCGCCTCGAGGCATGTGGGGTTCCCCAAACAGGGATTGAACCCATGCCCCCTGCAGTGGAAATGCTGAGTCTTAACCATTGGACCGCCAGGGAAGTCTCAGATACATTTTTTTTTTTTTTTTTCCTTGCGTTATGCGGGCCTCTCACTGTTGTGGCCTCTCCCATTTGCGGAGCACAGGCTCCGGACGCGCAGGCTCAATGGCCATGGCTCACGGGCCCAGCCGCTCCGCGGCATGTGGGATCTTCCCGAAACGGGGCACGAACCCGCGTCTCCTGCATCGGCAGGCGGACTCTCAAGCACTGCGCCACCAGGGAAGCCCTCAGATACATTTTTTATATTTATTTAAAACCTCAAACCACAGTATAATCTCTTAAATGGAACATTGGTGACACGGTCATCTATGTTTCCTTCCAATCAAAGTGGCCCGGGGTAGAAGAGGGAAGGACACTCATATTTATTAAAAGTCTACTTGGTGCCCAGTTTTTGTCTCTCAGCAGCTCTTGTGGGTGGGGGGCGGGTAGCCTGCTGCCCTAAGGACATAGGGATGAGGGACGTTTTTGACTCTGCTCCATACTCAACACCAGTCTACAGCATTGGAAAAGGCTTTTAAAGCCAAATCATATAATTATCTTTCCTGCAACCAAGGAAGGTGTGAGCCAGGGAGATTGCTATCTTCATAGAAATAGCACATATCTAACCATTTTCTGCTCTATGGGAGAACAAAGGGAAACACTCTGTGGAAAATTAGATTTTTTAAAAATAAATAAATAAACATTTATTTATTTATTGCTGCGTTGGGTCTTCACTGCTGTATGCGGGCTTTCTCTAGCTGCAGCGAGTGGGGGCTACTCTTTGTTGCGGTGCTCAGGCTTCTCATTGCAGTGGATGGGAGCAGAGCACGGGCTCTAGGCACGTGGGCTTCAGTAGTTGTGGCATGTGGGCTCAGCAGTTGTGGCTCTCGGGCTCTAGAGCACAGGCTCAGTAGTTGTGGTGCATGGGGCTTAGTTGCTCTGCGGCATGTGGGATCTTCCCGGACCAGGGCTCGAATCCGTGTCCCCTGCATTGGCAGGCGGATTCTTAACCACTGTGCCGCCAGGGAAGCCTGAAAATTAGATTCTTTTGGTCAAAATTTTACATGGATTGCATAACTGTTTTTGAGTTGGCAATTAGATTTTGAACTTCATTTATATTTAAATGAAAATGAGAAGAATCCTACAGACAAGTGGTAGTGGCTTAATGTGTCTTATTTTTGCCTTACCCCTTTCATGTTATATGTAGTCTCACATATCCCTTTAAATAATTATTTCACCATTTTTATGTGTGCGTGACAAATAAGCAATTTTAAGTCCATGTATTAAATAATCTATTATAAAATGCATCTTACTATAATATACATATGTTTTATCTTTATAGAAAGATAGAATTTGGTGTTTTCTATTTGTCACTTTCATTGAATTTGAATTAATTATATAAAGAGAAAGGCATTTGTTGACATACTAAAATGACATGTCATGATTAATTGGGGTGAAAATAAATATTTAAATATGAGTGAAATTTTATGTTCAGAATCCAAAATAGGCCCATGCCTAATATTTAGGATTCTTAAAATTTGTGTTCTAAAAAAACCCAACTTATTTTACTATTTGTTTTTAAATTACAAGAGGAAAGGATTTTAGGCTGCTATTTGCAAGGAGTCCTCCCAAAATAATACATGATGGGTTCACAGTATCATTTTCAACAAACTAAGAGAGAGTTTGACTATAATGATCACTATATCTTCTCTTTTTGACATTGGTTTATGAAGTATTAGTTGACACCCTGATGTGCTGTTTGAATGTTTTGACCTGATAAAGGTAACTTACAGATCAAGGGAAGGATATTCCTAGGCAAACTTACAGAATCATAATTTTATGTACCTTATTAACTTAGTGTTCATCTTCAGTGTTTTCTGTCTTAAACTTCAGATCCATTGTGGGAATACTTTAAATGTTATATGGCAGTATTTTAAACTTCAGAGCAAAACAGCACAGGTGTGTAGTGTTTAGCTCAGGAATGAATCAGTCGAGCTATCAGGTCTTAAGCATGCCGTGATCTTGGCTACACATGCTCAGTTGACAGGGACTTACAGTCTGGAAAAGGATTCTGTTTTTAAAGAGAGAAAAAGTAAAATAATTATTTTATCTATTGATTAAAATAAAGGAATGGAAAACAGATACCTGTTTCTGTCAGACTTCTACCTTTATCTGAGGGGGCCCTCTAAGCACTAAACCCTGAGGTAGTTTCTGAACCACAGGTTTGAAAACCTGGATTTAGTTTAATAATACCTTTCTGATAACTTATTTCCAGAAATGTACACAATATTTTTAATATTTAATATTGTACAAAATGTTTTTAAAGAACCAACAAAAACTCCTTCAGCAGCACAATGTATAATATAGGGCACTTCACCTAATGGCCCCTCTTAGTAAGGGCCACAGGCACTTGATATCTATAGAAATAAGTGGTTTAATGAATTCTCACTTGAAAAATACATACATGTATTAGACTTTCCTGTTTGTCGGGCAAACTGGAAGAGGAAAAACAACATTGTAAACTAAAGATGGCTTTGGAATATTTTTGAAATATTTGACCATATGTGTATTGATATTACAAGTTATGTCACATTCTTTGTTTTTTCTTATTTTTCCTCCGTCTTTAGCTACACAGTCTCATCAGTGGTATTCTTGGGGCCCACCTAATATGCAATGTAGGTTATGTGCAACCTGTTGGCTCTATTGGAAAAAATACGGAGGCCTAAAAATGCCCACCCAGTCGGAAGAGGAGAAGTTACCTCCCAGCCCAGCTACAGAGGTACACAAGCAATAGTCTTTCTAGTGTTGAGAAATGTAGTGTTTTTCAGCGCCTGGATCATTCCTTGGAAACAGAAGTACAGTATAGGATAAGTTAAAAACAAACAAAACTATTATAGCTAAACGTAGTACTGAAATGTTGAGGGTGGGTATGGAGATAGGGGCAGGGACAAATCCAATTTTTTCAGGTATTCAACGTATCGGTCTTGAGAGATTACTCAGAAGAAGAACAATGTGTGTGGGAGGTGTTAGCCTGAGTAGAGCGCTTACAAATTAAATACTGGTTTGAATGGCTTTTTTGGAAACAGTTTGCAACCTTTCGCACTGTTGAAAATGTGTTTTATTGCATAAAGTAATAAGTACAAACTGAGCATTCTTTCTGTCCCTGGGCTATCGTAGGAGGGACAAGAAGGCATGGGCTCAATCTTGAGGTGAACAACAGTTAAAATATGATTTTGGTAAAATTCTCATAGATGGCAGATATCAAGCACCTGTGTCTACCAGAGGGAGGTTGTTCTTTTTGAGAGCTAACACGATTTAAGGACCCCCTTCAATATATTTTTTTAAAAAATAGTCTCTCCTCTGGCAGTTTTTTACTGTTGTGAATGTGATTTGGGATTGTTAAGGTCAATTTAGGAGAAAAAATATATAGGATCACAGACACCCTTTCTTCCACCCAGTTTCCTTCTCTACTCCCCACCTCCTACTCCAAAGTACATACTTCTAAATTCTCTCCCCCGTAATAAGTTATAGATTCTTCAGTGAAAGACTTAAAAACTGCGCTTTTCTTTGAACAGGGTGCAAGGAGTATTTTTCTTTATGCTTCCCTAAAAATATATTTATTCTTTTTTTTTTTGTTTTACCTCTTTATTGGAGTATAATTGCTTTACAATGGTGTGTTAGTTTCTGCTTTATAACAAAGTGAATCAGTTATACATATACATATGTTCCCATATCTCTTCCCTCTTGCGTCTCCCTCCCTCCCACCTTCCCTATCCCACCCCTCTAGGTGGTCACAAAGCACCGAGCTGATCTCCCTGTGCTATGCGGCTGCTTCCCACTAGCTATCTACTTTACGTTTGGTAGTGTATATATGTCCATGCCTCTCTCTCGCTTTGTCACAGCTCACCCTTCCCCCTCCCCATATCCTCAAGTCCATTCTCTAGTAGGTCTGTGTCTTTATTCCTGTCTTACCCCTAGGTTCTTCATGACATTTTTTTTTCTTAAATTCCATATATATGTGTTAGCAGACGGTATTTGTCTTTCTCTTTCTGACTTACTTCACTCTGTATGACAGACTCTAGGTCTATCCACCTCATTACAAATAGCTCAATTTCGTTTCTTTTTATGTCTGAGTAATATTCCATTGTATATATGTGCCACATCCTCTTTATCCATTCATCCGATGATGGACACTTAGGTTGTTTCCATCTCCAGGAGGAGTATTGTATTTTGGCAAGTTCTGTTCTTTACATGTTTGTTGGTGTCTGATTTTATAGGACCCTCGAGTTCGAAGTCACATGTCTCGCCAGGCCATGCAGGGGATGCCGGTCCGAAACACTGGGAGCCCAAAGTCTGCAGTGAAGACCCGTCAAGCTTTCTTCCTTCACACTACATATTTCACAAAATTTGCTCGTCAGGTCTGCAAAAATACCCTCCGGCTGCGGCAGGCAGCAAGACGGCCGTTTGTTCCTATTAATTATGCTGCCATTAGGGCAGAATGTAAGATGCTTTTAAATTCTTAACCTTATATGTTGTGCTTCTGACCATTTCCTCTCTT